AAAGAGTGCATCGAGAGTGTTCCGAGACAGAGTGCAACGTCGAGGGAGAGTGTCACGAGCAGACACGACACGCGGAGGGTCAAGAATCAGGGTATCGAATAGGGTGACTCGGTGCGTCGCTCCAGTGTTTTCGTTCACTTGGCTCATCCACCCTCCGAGAGGCGGAGGGCGGTGAAGCATCGATCGCTCGCCATTTTGCGCGACGGCCGACATCTTTTGCGCGCATCGACGACATCTTGCCGCGTGACATCTTCAGCGATACGAAAGGTACAGCGGCTGCGGACTTATTACGTCAAGAGCCAGGATATTTCCGTGTCTGTTCCACAAGTACGTCTTATTCTCCGCTTATCGATTGTCGTCAACGATCGTCATATCACTTATAACGCTCTCCCGTCGCGGAGAGGGTGCGTTATCGCAAAATCTCGCGTAGTTCGACAGGAAGAGACGAGGTTTAGCGGAGAAAGAAAACGTAAATCGGTATCCAACGTCGAGGGAGGAAGGAAAAGTAGTGTCCTTCAAGTCGAAGGTAGAAATCAGCAGGCTGGGAGGTCGGTTGAGCGAGGTGGTGGGTCCCGTCGTGGAGGAGGCCATCGAGCCAGGGGATGCGACCCCGCTGACGGGACCCTCGAGGGAGTCCTCGGTTCCTCGAGCACCCCCGCCACCGCCGCAGCGTGTCATCACACCGAGTCCGCCGAGACCGCCGCCCGCTACGTCCCAGCATCACCAGAATCCGTGTCATCCGGCCCACAATCCGGGGCATCAAAATCCCGGACATCGCAACCCGGGCCACTCGCCCCACAATCCGGGCAATCCCGGCCACAATCCCGGCCACAATCCCGGTAACAACCCCGGTCACCAGACCCACAATCCGGGCAATCCCGGCCATAATCCGGGCAATCCCGGCCACAATCCGGGCAATCCCGGCCACAATCCGGGCAATCCCGGCCACAATCCGAACAATCCCGGCCACAACCCGGGCAATCCCGGCCACAATCCAAACAATCCCGGCCACAACTCGGGCAATCCCGGCCACAATCCGGGCAACCCGGGTCACAACCCCGGTAATCCAGGCCACAATCCTGGTCAACAGAATCCTGCTGGCCAGCCGACACAGAATCCCGGCCAACCGATCAGTCCGGGACGTGAGGCCCAGAATCCTCATCTAGGTCAGAACGTGAGTCGCCAGCCGCAGAACCCGACCCAACCGGCACAGAGCGGAAGAGAACAACCGACAAGTCAACAACCGCAGCAGCAGCAGCAGCAGCCGCAGCCGCAGCAGCAACCACCGCAGCAGCAGCAGCAGCCACTGCAACATCCGGAGCACCGTACCGGAAGTATGGGGACCGTATTGTCGTTTAGTCCGCGGGACCGTCGCGGGTCCGTTTACCCGCCGACGGGTCACCCCGCCGACTTTACGCTGAACAACTTCAATTACGAGCAATTGAACAATGCGAAGAATCGCGAGAACAAGAGCAGCGTTGCTACGGTAGCGCCAGCGCCGCCCACGAATCATCCGCCGACCAACAACAACTCATTGCAAAACAACAATATTAATCTGAACAACAACGACAACGCGAGGATCATCTCGGAGAAGAACGCGCTGGAGAAGAAGTTCAGCACGACCAACAACAACAAGAAGAAGCTTGACAATAAGAACAAAAACATCGCCTTCAGGCAGCCGCTCGATAATATACCTATTGTTGATAAGAATAAAAATATACAGACGCCACAGGTGAGTACTTTTGGCCGCGACAGACTTTCTCTTTCTCTTTCTATTCTGATGTTTCATAAACTGGCATATTTCATGCGTCAAGTTTATATAAAAACTGCATAAAAAACAGACGAAGACAAAACTTTTTATAATCATTTTTGCATATTTTAATACGTTGCAAATTAAATTATATATAAATTGAATTAGAGCAAAAATATCTATTTATAAATTAGCGAATAGATATTTTATTTTTGTTTTTTTTTTCTGCGAAGAAAAATAATATATTCGTTAACAATTGAATCTCTCAGTTATACCTTATCTGTAATTTAAAAGAGAAATAATTCTCCAAAAAAAATTGCAAAAATTATTAAAAAGTTTTGATTATTAAAATTCTTCAAATAATTATTTATTTATTAAAGAATTTTTTACGTAATAACGATAATATCACGTAATAAATTAAAAAGCATAAGCATTATAAAACACACTGAAGGCTTTTGTTAAGAATAAATGTACAATTATAGTCGCACTTTTCTCTGTTGTATCTAGAGAAGTATCTAGAGACCATTGAGGGAGATTTATAGTGCGAGGAATAAAATATACACAACGTGCTTTGACCTCAGACACGATCGAAAGCGATCGATCGTTTCGACGTCTTCTCTCGCGTGACATGTTGCACGAGTAGTTTCTCTCCTTACAAAGTTTCACCCTCTCACTAACAATTTCTGTTTCTAGAAACAAGGGTGTTTCCAAGCATTCAATGTGATACTTAACGTTCTCATATATTCAATTTTCAGCCATTGATTTTTAAGCTCTTTGTAAACTGTAACATTTATAACGCGTGGATATAAAATTTGTAAATTTTCTATTAATCTATCGACTAACGTATTTCATTAAACGTTACCGTTATTGTTGCACAAATGTAGTAAAAAATTATCACGTTACATATACGTAAAGTATGTACAGTATTTGTATTATATAATTAATATTATATATAAAATATTATATAAAATTAATATTATATAAATATTAATTATTAATATATTAGATTATATAATATATATGATTGAAACTCGATATGTACTATAAGTACGAAATAAGTTTATATTAATTTTAAGAAATCTGCAATTTTAACAAATTTACAAAGAGCGTTAAATATAAAATACTATATAAAACGTTTCATGTAAAACTGCTATATAATATTAAGAGAACTATTTATTAAGAGATGATTTTTATGTGGATTCAATTAGACAAAACCACCGGCGTCAAACAACAATCATACCACGCACAATCCGACGTGCGAGAAATTGGTGCAGAAACCCCTGCCCCCTGGTCCAAGGAAAACCGTCATCCAGGCCTCCACCTCGGAATTGCTCAAGTGCCTCGGCGTCTTCCTGCACAAGAAATGCACCCGCTTAAGAGACTTCCAAGCCGGCGATGCTGTCATGTGGCTCAGGACCGTTGACAGAAATCTCCTGCTTCAAGGCTGGCAGGTGAGTGATAAGTCGTCATTTAACGTTACGTATTTCTATTATTTAATCTTAATTTGACAGAGCAAGAATATTTTTTCGTAAAAAAAAGAATTATTATATATATTTTGAGATCATCTCTGATATACTTATTTAATGAATCAAACGTTTTATTTGTGAATAATCTTTTACGTTGTAAAAAGCAGCGAGAAGAAATATCGTTCAATGAAATTATTAAAAACCACTTAATTATAGTTAATAATTTTATAATTAATTAATAATTTTATACTATTAAAAAAAAAAATTCCGCTCGATAGCAAATATTTTCGTTTACCAGGTAGTTAGCATGCTCCGCGAACATATTCGTCGCTAATACAATTATCACAAGCGCTAGAGATTGACGTTATAATTAATACATTACCCCCGCGGTTATATATATTTCTATCGTGATAATTGGATAATTAAGATGCACCAACGGCATGAGGCAATTAACTCTTGTTGATTGCGCTTCGATATTCGCCGATATATGTAAATATAATATCGATGATCATCGACCACACACACGAGTAAAAAAAGTTATTAAATTCTTGAGGATAAATTAATGATTACACATTAATAAAGATTTGCAATTTGATTGAAGACTCGAATAATGTTGGAAACTCGCCATGATTTTTAAGACTGTTAGCGAGGTTTGAGTGTCATCGCAGCACACACATACATACACATATATACAATATATCTGACGTTAAAATCCAAAAATGACAGATGATCTAAAATGTATGTTACTCCACCCCTTCGATTATGAAAATAATGGTATGTAAATCTTTTAAAATTATTTTATAAGCTGCAATCGACTTGATCATTATAAAAAGAGCAAGTGTTTTAAAAATAAAATTTTTTAGAACTACAATAAAGTTCTCTTAATTGTTTATTGAATGCCATCTTTTTTCAAAAAAAATGTAGAAAACACGATCTAAATATTTTTTCTGGGCATTTTATTATATTTTTTTTTTATATTTTATTTCTGGGAGAGGATAATTTAATCTTCCTAACAAAATCATGAAAGAATTGATTTTTGTGGTTATTACAATAATCGCGATTCAGTCACGCGAGGTAATAGATGTATAAAAAAGGCATGTCATGTTACAACGAAAATGTGAAAATGCCTAAAATATAATAAATAATGCGTTGGCATCGTCATGCACGAAGGGGTTAATTATCTGCCGAGCATATCTCGGCGGCATTCTTTTACCTACTTTATGACGAAAGCCAGTAGCGGCTTTATACTGACCAACGTGTGTATCGTGCAATCTTCAACGAGCCGCAACGCTCGTTGAAGCCTTATGGAAAATAGCGTGAAGCGCGCTTGTAATAATTCCAGACCACTGCGGCGGCGATTCTCCATCACGTTCCCGTGGGTGGACTTTCCTCGTCGAACGAGTGACGTTCAAGCGCCAATCGTTGCAAACAATAGCGCGTTGTCGACGTCGATTGACGTTTATGTTTGAGTCAGATAATCTTTTGGAAGAAGAATTCCCAGTAATTTCTCGGGTCACTTGAAATTCCATTGATTTAATTAATTAAAAGGTTCATCGAAATATAAATTTAATACCGAGATAATTTTTCATCTTTTTTCCTTTCTTTCTTATAATCTTTTACAATCCATTTAGTGCGTTTTTTTTTCTGTGTGTACGTAATACTTGGAATAAGAAATAATATGCTTCTTTGTAAAAAAAAAAAAAAAGCTCTTTTTCGCAAAATTAATAATCTACTTTAGAATACGAGAAATGCAAACGTTATTTCAATTTATAATACAGGTCTGCTCTAGTTATTTCCGAGAATTTATGGTGCCTTTTGTCATTCGCGACAATTTGCGACGTATTATCGCGACACTCGCGTGTTCCAACCCACTTTGCAGGGAGGCGTTGAAGACGTCCATAATAAAGTACCTTTGCGTAGACACCCGCCCTAGTAACAACCCTGCGCCCACCGACATCGATTTCTCATGTCGATAAATCCACGTGCGGAATCGCTGGAAAGGCGAGCGAGAGATAAGAGAGGGATGGTCTCGCGTCTAACGTCTGAAAGAGCCCACGTTATCTCGGTATCCGAAGGATGGTCCACTAACGTGCACCATCATTCGATCGAGGCTGCCTTTCTTGTCATTCGTCTGATTGTTTCCGATATTCTCCAACGAGAATGTATCTCTCTTTTCTGTAACTCGAGCTTTTGAAAGAGCTCTTGAAAGATGAGACATTTTTTTAATAAAAAGAAGATCGATTTATAGATAACAAAAAATATTAAAAAATATATATATATTTTTTTCAGTTGATATTGTTAAACAAATTAAGTGCGTTAAATTTATTTTTTATTTAGCCAAGTATGATATTAGAAGCATCGACTTTTTTCCGCGGAATATTTTCAGAATACTCGCGTTATATATGTTAATATTCTGCATATTGGCATGAACCGGTAAAATATGTATCAGATAGACAGTCATAAATCAAATATTGCGCAAGTAATGGAGGATTGATAAGACGATTAATTATTTCGACTTAATGGTATTTACGAAACGGTTTCAATATTTTGATCTATCTTCTCTAAGGACGGTTTTTCCGGACCTGCAACTAAATTATTCAAACGCAACGAAATCAATAAAAATAAAAAAAGAAATCATTAGAAGAATTAGTCTATTCAATCACGAAGAAAAAACGTCTTCAAATAAATTAATTACTTCACAAATATATTTACATATTATATTTTTAACAGAATATAAAAGTATAACAAGAAAAATGATTAATAAAAATTGAATAAATCCAAAAAAGTGGACTCAATTTTAATTATTAAAAAAAAAGTAAAAAGTGAGATTTATTAAATCTGACATCTCTCTCTTTTACAGACAGTGTAATTCTGTAAAAATAGTCGACAGAAAAATAGTTAATCGTTTCGTTTTCTCGGAATACACGAGTATATGTGTAAATTTGTCAAGTATGTGTAAAAATCGAATCGCTAGACATTTCCATGAACTCAATGCAACTGTGTCCACAGAGGACTGCAGATAAAAAGTTATATGTTATAACTATTGATACAGCCAACATAGTAGCTATTTGTGTGTCCACGTGCATGTATTTGATCTCCATCGAGTGCATTGCGTGTAGGTAAATATATATATATATATACACGAGAAGGTGCTTTTGCTATCGATGCATCCCTTGTAGCTATCACTATCGAAGCACGCTGATTTTCAGCCTCAAATCCCTCATCTACACTTCACCCTTTTGACTACTCCGGTTCCGACCCTAAAATAAACTTTCGGTCTTGATCCTACTTGGGACGTTGACCCATGTTTAAATGGCCGCATTTCTCTCTATTCTTTGCAATAAAAATTATATTATATATATAAGCGAGAGCGCAGAATATATTATTTATTTTTCTTTTGTGGTGCGATGACATATATTACTTTTGATGGAAATATTTCTATATTACTTTAATATTATATCTAATTTTATCCAAATTATTATTATTAATACAGATATATGGCATTAATTTGTAAAATTGAAATCTTTGTCAGTTAGAACATAAATCATAAAAAAAAAATAATCGACATAAATGATTTTTTTTTAAGATTAATGAATCTTCTGTAACATTATTAATATTGTGAGTAATGTATTACTGGATGATAGAAAAGCTAAAGTTGGTAAACTTATGAACAACTTCATCTTACGCTGCGGCAAATCCGCGACGCTAACGAGGTTTCGATTGACAAGACTAGTGAGAAAGATGTGCAGCAATGTGCATTAAGGGAGAAAACCGCACAAGGGACGAAGGGTCGCAAGTGTTGCACAGAAGCGATGGCAACGTCGCAAAAAACACCCCATAGAGACGTGCGGAAAAATGCGAGGGTTCGTAGAGGGACGTTCACCCCTCGATCTTAATTATGACAGGGAGACATTTTCTTCTCCCGGATATTAGTAACTCCTGGCCAAGACTTTTTCTATTTCGCCCTAAATCTATCTATCGATTACGAGAAAATGTACACGGACGAGAGATACCTAAATTAGTTGGAAAAATAAAAAAATAAAAAATATAAATCAAAGAACCAAATACTATCAAATTTTACTTTGGAGAATCTTTTGAGTATTTTAAGAGAACACAAAATATAGAGTAGCAATCTTATAACGATAATTTTTTATTAATTTTAGATCATGAAATGAAATAATAAACATCCAACTTTAGCCCATTTTTATTCAATTTGATTGCACTAATTGATTGATAAGATTAATGATGCATAATTCAATACTAACGATCTGCGACAAGCTTGACGTAAGTGGGGTAATTAGGCGCACTGAATAATTTTCTCTAAAGCACATTCTAATATATATCTTTCTCTTCTCACAACTGTTCATAAATTTTCATCTAATCCAATTCGAGTAATTATAAAAGGTCGAATAATGGATTATGTAAAAAGATCGCGTATATGAAGAGAATATTTAAATATCGTGAATGCGCGATAATTATTCTATTTCTGCGCAAATATTTATTATGCATGAAGCGTAGCAAAGCTATTTGTTGTCACACGCGTTTCGAGATGTCGAAGCACATCAACAGCTGCATGGATCGATCCTGCACGTGCTTAAATCTAATTTCTCAAGTATGACGTGCGTACAGTTGATCTCGGGGGTGTATATTCCGAGCGTGTGTCTGAAAACCGCGCGTGTATGACGCACGTGTAAAAGACGACCACGAATTCGTGATCGTGTATGCAAAGAGGAGATAAATCGAATTTGCTTTAACGAAAGCAGAGAAATCAATATTATTACTTTTACAATGATATAAACGCGCATACAATTAAATTGTTTTATATTTCTGGATAACTTTCTCCCGCTGCCTCTCGCAATTAAGACGAAACAATTTTTCTGAAATAAACGGACACGGTGTATATAACGATCAATTTTAATTTTTTATCTTTACGATTTGCACATTCCATAAATATTTTTCTAATATTATCGTTAAAATTATTCTCT